TGCCATGCTTTGACGAGCCACAAATGAAAGCTACTTGGAAGATCACAGTATTTCATCCCAAGGGAACAACCGCGCTATCGAACGGAATTGAGCTGAAGGAAAAAGTGGCAACGTTAGTTTTTTTTCGCATTTGTAAGGAGACTTACGCTGTGGTGGACTATATTGTTGTGATAGATCGGAAAATCGTTATCAAATGGTCGAACATAATGGCGTTAATATATGGAGTGTCTTTTGTGCAAGAACATAGGCTAATTTTTCAGAAAACCTTCAGGCTTTTTGCAAGTAAAATGATGAATTGTGCCTTTGCCTTTAGACTGGCGATGCCAAATCGGGTATTTCAATTGTCATACAAAAACCCTGACTTGGAAGTCAGATTTTATGATTCTTTTGAGAATGAAAATTATCTACTTCATGCAAAGATGTAATCCGAAGCAAGCACGACAAGGCTGAAAGATAGCTGTGAACATGAAATGAAACTGATTTCTTTCAGTGATGATGCTAATTGGGTCTCGACAGAATTTAAAGAAACCTTGAAAATGTCGTCATATCTAGTTGCGTTGACAGTTTCCGAGCTCGACTTCGTAGAAGGACGAACGAGTGGAGATACGCGGGTGAGTTGTAATCCTACTGCAGCTATTTGTTAGCAGTGATCCTCAAAGGAACGCGTATATGCTCTAGAACCAGTGTCTATGAAATTGAGCATGGCTAATTTCAGCACTTTTTTATATGTTTTGCGAAGCGTATTACTTCAAATTTTTAGGTTCGCATCTGGGCACGAAGTGAGGGGATCAATCAGACAGCATATGCCCTTAGCGCAGGGATCAAGGCACTAGAATTTTTCGAACAATTTTATGGTATTAAATACCCACTCGAAAAACAAGGTGAAGTTGAAATGTTTGATAGACACGAGGACGATGACAGTTTCTAGAACAGATTACATTTCAAATAGAAGAGCATTTCAGTTGGATGACGAGAAATTATTAGATTAACAACCATGAGATCTGAGTTTCAGACATGGTTGCATTGCCGGATTTCGCAGCAGGAGCGATGGAAAACTGGGGTCTTATTACCTATCGGGAGAAACTTTTGTTATACGATAGCACTTCATACGCGCCACGTCAAAAGATGGACGTCGCAAACGTGATAGCACATGAACTGGCGCATCAAGTTGGTTGTTGTCTTCGATGCTATTTGATCATTCGACAAATGAAACTTTTAAGTGAAGTTCATCACTGCATTACTCGACAACACAAACAAACACACGATTGACGTTATTCACGTCTTTGATCATGCGTGTAATTTTCAGTGGTTTGGCAACCTTGTGACAATGAAATGGTGGAATGATCTATGGCTCAATGAAGGTTTCGCGTCTTTTATGGAGTATTTGGGAGCGAACGCAATCAGTGATAACAATTTTGAAATGGTATTCAGTCATGCACAGCATCCGGAATTATTTATCAAAATTCATCATTTTCCAATGTGTTCTGCGTTCTTCTCGCTCATTTCGTCAAACAACCTTGACTATTGTGCGATTGTGTACGACAAAACATTGCGGGCACCAGTGAATGTGTTGTATTCGTTGCCAAGATGACCAACGCAATACAAGATGATCATAGAATGCTGTTTCAATAGACCGAGCAATTTTACCAACAATGCATATTTAGAATGATTTCTTTGCGTATGATGCCATCGAAACTGCTCTTGAGAGGGATGCATACGCCAGTTCACATCCACTTTTCTTCGAAATCGAAAAAGCCGAAGATTTGGTGTCCGTGTTCGACGGAATAACCTACAAAAAGGTGACTCCATAGTTCTAGAGTATCGTTTTGTCCACCATGCGCGCACGAATGCATTGAGCCGACAGTGAGGGAAAACTTTCATTTTGGAGACCGACCAGTTCTTAGGACTGGTCGGTCTCCAAAATGAAAGTTTTCCTTCAGTGGTTAGCGCAACAATGCTCAATGTAATTTATTCATTTCTTGCTGCCAGTATTACTTATTGTATTTTACAAGGAATGACATCTACTAACTCAATCGCAGGCATTTCATTTTACAATTGGGTTGGCGTCCCAATGAGGACACTGAAATTTTTTTTNTTTTTTTTGAAAAAATGGCTTGCATTCCCAGAACATCCGTTTTTCACAGCCTCATATGTTTCCATTTCACTCCATCCAAGGGATTTCTTAGATTCTAAAGCGCATTCCTGTGATAAAAACCTCTGAGGCAGAGTAAAGGAATACTTTCGAAACCATTACTGGCAAAAGCACATTCCCAGTTGCAGTCAAAGCCGTGGTTGCAGCACGAGATCGTAAGCAGCAAGCGAGCATGCATTGAATTAACTCTAAAACTAGGCAATTTCAGGGTGCATCTATAATTCGCATGATCGAGGCAGTAATGGGTGATAATAATTTCAAGAAGGGAGTCATGGTAGGTTGATTTGCTATCAGTTGCAGAGATTACGGCATATTTCGGCGGAATATAATGAAGTAATAAACTCCAGAATTACCTGAACAAGTATAAATACTCGAATGCTGACCACGAAAACCTGTGGGAGATGCTGAACGAAGCTGTGCCCGATACGGCGTTGGACTGGAATGGAAAAAAACTGAACATTGCCAGTTTTGCATCCAAATGGATTGAACAGGTACAGACAGCACTAACAGCGCTTAACCATCATCAGCTGATGATTGTTCAAACAAGAAGCGAATCAAATTATGCTCAGTTGTTTTGTCGATAACTCTGAACAGTCAAACTTCTGCCGTATGGTATTTCAGATGGGTTATCCGGTGATCGAAGTTAAAAGACTGAACCGTGGAACCGTGAAACTATCGCAAAAACGTTTCAAACCGGACGAAAACGTCATGGAGAAAGCGAAATATCGGAATCCGAAGTACGGGTAAGTCGCTAAAGCCAAAGCATTCAGTTTTTAGGGCCTCTTTCATTCCCTCTTCTGATGAAGTTGAATTTGCAGTTACAAATATGATAGTCCAATTTGGTATGCAAACAATCAAGGCGAAGAAAAGATGATATGGCTTCACGAAGGTATGCAGTTAAAAACATTGTAACCGTTTCGTATAAGAGCCTTGTTTCAAAATTCAGGTCGTTTGCATGCTTGATTTAGACATCTCATGGTCAATATTCAAACCAATGACCTTCCAGAGTGCCATCCCATTCTTTGATTTGCACCACAACATCGCTATGTTCATAGCAGAAAGCTCTTATCTGATAAGTATGTGAAAGCAACACNACTGCGCTCCTAAGGACTGGTCGGCCTCCAAAATGAAAGTTTTTCTCTCAGTGGGTTTACTGAAACGAATTCAAATTTAGATGAGGAGAAAACAATCAACTTGGATGAAAGTGGACACTTTATCGTGAACAGCGGCACAAGAGGATTCTACCGTGTCAAATACGATACAGAAATATGGGAAGAGATTATCAAACAATTGAATAGTGATCATAAAGTAAGCGCTTCAAGAATAGGTTGAAAATTTTGGTGTTTTCTCAGCAAAGGATTATCGCTCATGCGATATTCGCTCGTGATGTGGATCCAAAGAGAAATCCGAGGATGTCGCCAATAGACTCATTTCAAACCAATGAAATTCTGTTTCTGATGAACCACTTCCTGCACTCCCTGGCATTTGTGACAGTGGGGGAAAAAGTAGTTCGTGGAAACCATTCCGAGCAAATTCTAACTTCGATGTTTAACGTTCAGGAAATTGATCTGCACACTCGTATTCGCTTACTTGCGGACGCGTTCGCATTGGCTAAGGTGGATATGATCAACTATGATATACCGTTGAAAATGAGCAAATACTTGGGCAAGGAAGATGAATTCGTTGTTTGGGTTACGGTGTCGGACAGTCTAAGTGGCATCTTGAAGAAATTCAGTGGTCTCCCGGAGGCGGAAGATGCCAAGGTACGTTCGCTTATTCAGTTTGAAGATCCAACAAACGATTGTGTGTGGAAGAGGGAAAATTGAAGCAAATGTTTGCTTCCGCAATCTTTTAGATCAATGAACTGAATAGTGACTTCTACGCTTTTCATTTTATATTAGTCGCTTCTGTTTACTAGATATGCCTTGAAGCTACTTCCCATTTCCTATCGTTACTATGCCCATCAGTGGTCTCATTCTCAAGTTTAGGAAATACGCCTGACGGAGCGTTAATACGTATGAAAGGTTCATAAAAATGAACTATCTGAACAAACGATTTTCATTGTTTTAGAAGTCTTGTGACTAATGGATAACAGTTTGCTTAAACAATGCATATTGTCCGCCGCTATCGGAATGACTGAACAACGAAGCGTTGAGTGTTTACTTTCAGAATTTCATGAAAAGTATAACTGCACCTCTGTATGACAAAATCAACTGGGTAACGTTCGAAACTTCGTATTTGGATGACAAGATGTACAGTCAAAAGTATGTCCCAGTCGTNCAGTTTTCCATTAGGTTTACCGTGACGAGTCCAACCTATTCCGATCAGTCTTAATCGGTTCATTTTCCTAGTCACTTATATAACATCATAGCGATTCCTCTAGTTTTATAAGCACATTTCGCATCATCCAGCGTAATTTCGTTAGCAATGAGTGACTGATGGATATCCTTTCAAACTACACATTAGAACTTTTCAAAACAACTTGGATTCTTTACAGCGAAATTGAAAAATATATGATAGGACTGGCTTGTGCTGCTGGATATTCAGCCTGTACAAATAAAATGGCAACAATGTTCAAGAACAAAGTAATGGATGCTTGTCAGGGTGCGATCACGAGTGAATGCGCCAAGTAAGTTTCGCAGTTTTTATCACGTTGACTCGCCGGAGCCTGACATTCTGAAACGAGTTAACGACTCATTTGTCACTTTGAATTGTCATATAAAAAATTTTTTGCCGTATCAACAATTTACTAACAATAAGGTAACTGATCATCAAGTGAACTTTTTTGCGTGAATGTCTCCAAATACATTGTGCATCACTTGCAGAATTGTGCCCACCATCCGTCTCCGAGTGTACTGTGAAGGTGTGAAAAATGGTGGTCAGAAAGAATGGGATGCTGTGTTGGAGTGGTACAAAGCTGAGTCAGTAAAAGCTGAGAAGGATCGCCTCCTTTACGCGCTCGCTTGCTCGAAAGACGTCTCCGTTTTGGAAAAGTGTGTTTATTGCTGCAACCTGTCTTCCCTTAATCGCCATGATGTTTACATCGTTGGCCAAATCAGTCTCTCCGGAAAACTATGCACTACACCTTTCGAATTCAGCCAACGTATTATACATTCACATGAGATCAGTTGATCCATCCAGCATCCAATGAGCAACTGTTTTCAGGTTTATTGACAAGGTTGTAGATCGAAGCCACCCGTTGGTTCGTCTGCAGGATGTACGAATGGCGTTCTACAATTTAGCATCTGAAGACAGCAGTAAAAAGATCTTGTTCGATTATTTCACGAAAAACTGGAAAAAACTTTACAAAGAGTAATTTTCGCTCTTGTTTGTTAAGCGAACAAGCCTTGCTTATTGATATCTGATTATAAGAGCCGAATTTCATGCCAAATAACAACTTTTGAGTGGTTGTTAACGGTCCCGTTACGACTTTAAATCCAGTGAAACTTCCATGGGCCTATTTCGAAGCAGTATAGACTAATCATAAATGTGAATCAGTCGCTCGCGTAGGTATTTCACACAAGAAATTATGGTCCATATTGGATAATATGGTGATGCTGCTAACTCGTTCTCAAACAGTCTCAAAATGATCATTTCAGCTACAAAGGCGAAGAATCTACTTTAAATTCTATAATAGGCTCAGCAGCAAGGGGTGTAGGTGATGATTTCGTAAAACAGGTAATACTTTGCTCTACGGTTCGACCGTTGTTTATGTTTTCCAATCCAGAAATTTTTCGTAAAGGCAACGATGAATTTTACATGAATTTCAGCTGAAACAATTCATTTTTCAGTTAGAAGAATTCATGGCTAAAAACAAGGAGGATATCACCCAACTAGATATCTTCCAGCAGGTACTGGAACAGACAAACGCAGACACGGTAATATTTTCCGAGCAATCTCATTTGAATACAAATGTCAACATCCTCCAAATGTATTATATTATGTGTGCACAGCGCATTTTCCGAGATTATCATATCACATTCGGATTTCAAGTAATTGAAGTCTTCGCAGCGAGTTCCAATCAAATGCGCGGCACATATCAATTGAGTTCTACGTGAGCTGATCAAGTCTGTCAAAAAAGCGTTTCAACTCATTGTATACCTCCTAAAAAAAGTTCAATTGTAGAAATGGTTGAAGAAAAATCAGAAAACACTCGGCAAATTTTTCAAATCCGAAAGCAACTCGCAATGATCAGTGTCATACACAACAACGATCAGGCGACTGAACCGTTCTCTTCTTGGACTATTTTTTTATTAGCTGTGGTTTTTTAACTTTGTGCTTTATTCTGGTCTTTTGGGTATAGCAATAAAGAACTATGATCGTTGGTATTCCATGTGACATATGAATCTCAATTTGTTGACTGCAATTTTTGGATGAAGTGCACAAAAAGTAGCTATTGTCTCTCACTCCGTATTCAAGTGATAGTCGGGCGTTCAAAGTCAGTCAGCTGAGTCGATTGCGCCAGTCTGTATGCTCCTGGAATTGCTTTCGCTAGTTTTGTTACCGTTGCACAACTTTTTTGGATAGAATTTTATTTCGAGTTGGTAAATTTTACTTTGAATTGGCACAATATGAAAGAATGATTTAAATGACATGTTAAACAGTTAATTGATCTAATAATCGATACAAAAATATTCATCTGGTATTAAAGAGTCTAACTGACATCATTATTAGGTAAAGCATGAAGTATCGTGAATAAATGTGAAAATAAGAAAATATCAGAAAAACATAATTATAACAAATCGAATACTTTGCTTTCATGATGAATTTGGGGTTATTTCAAGAGATTGCAAACAAATAATTTTTGAGGGTTTCATAATAGACCATGTTTCGGAGTATGTCAAAGAATAGTCATTTCAATTGACAGCTATCAAAATATTCAGTCAAATATTCAACGACCAACAAAATACCGCTCTGGAGTGCATATCTACCAATTAATCGCAACCAAGACACAAATGTTACCCAATCAACTATCTTTTGCTACCATGAGAACAATCAAAAGTCAACCATCTTTAAAACTCTGCGTAAAATTTGGTTTCAGGATGTTACCGTCAGTGTGATATGAATTGCTCATGGAACCAAACTGCTCATGTAGACGTTTTCGGAAGTGAAATTTCGAACGGATTCAATGCGATAGGATTGAAATCTGGAGTATTAATACTGTGATATACACTTAATACTAGTAACATTTAAAAAATACGAATACTTGTTAAGAGCAATCACGAGTCAACTTGTAAACGGTTACTACCATCATCTACATTCATTTGATCAAAAAATGAATTATCGCAATATTCGAAATTTTCAATCTTGAACACATCAACAAGCGTTTATTGCTGCTTCACCATTGAGTACTGTTCATTTTGTCAAAAAATTCGCCATTTTGCAGAATGTCTAAAAGTTCTGGGGCAACACACTGCGAAATGTTGAAATATTGAGGCCTTAGATAGCCGCGACCAGAACGAAATGTCAAAAATTTTTTGAGGGTTTTTGCTCAGGGAGGATCTGACAGTGCTGCGTCTAGCAAGTCGTCGCAGTGCTTGAATGAGTAGTGCTGCGGCAACGGTTCGAAACAATCGGGTTGTTAAACTGCATTTTCTCTGGTGTTTGCTGCAGTGGATGGTGTACGCTTCTTTCTTCTCCAGATACACTCCTCTGGACCTGGCAAGTGATCTTTGAGAGGTTTGCCTTTCGTTTCGGGTAGGAACACTTGGAAGTTTATCAAATCCCAGATCGACATCAGTGCCATAGTCAGATAGGGTAACGGCAACCATATTTCACCCTGAAAATGCGTAATGCATTTCGTAATTTGCTTGTTTCGTATGCATAGTCAACATTTATCTCATGATAGTTTCGTAATGCTTTTGTGGTTGAATCGTCATTTTGTTCAGCAAGGAAACTTGAATAATTTTTTTCGTGAGCAATGTAGTACTTGTTTACGGTATAGCGATTTGAAGATAACAAGAATTTCAGTCGATGAGCACCTACCAAAAAGAACAGTTGAGGCGAGATGGAGTTTCCAATTCGACTGAGAATACCCATAGTGGACGTAGCGATGTTACGGATTGCCGTCGGATATAGCTCTACCATGGCGAGTGTTTTGGTTAGGTACAACTGAGCGCACATTGCAGCCGCTGCTAACGCACCATAACGAATCAGGAAATCGAATTGTTTCAAACCTGAAATACAATAAATATCTTACTGGAAATGCCCGGAATGATTTCGATTTTTTTTTTCGTTTTTTTAAGGATATGGAATTTTTTGGCATTAAACATTTTCACGTTCACTGTTCAGTTGATTTGAAGATTGCAGTAACCTAATTCAATCCTACTGCTGCTGCTGCTCTGCATCAACATTGCAATTTTAGATTAATATTTGAAACTAAACTTTATACCCGTTTTCATACGAATGCTATCTTCAGATTCGTGGTGGCTATTACATAGAACAAATTCCTCTCATGAATTGAAAGTTCTCGGATGCTGTTAGAATTATTCCCTTGGGAGCCAGGAAGGAACCCATTTGGAATTTCTCGGTTGCGATTGTCCGCCAAGAGATTGAATGAGTCAACATCTCTATGGTGTGATCAAATTAAGACACATCCTTCAACATGATATTGTTGAGGTGCAGTGAGGAGCGTAGAGGCGCTTACCGAGTGCCATTACAATGAAATTGATAACGATACACACAGCGATGAATCCAACTGAGATGAAATGCAACACTTTTCTCCCAACCGATGGAACGAAGAAATCGATAGCACCTGCGCCTATATTCAGCGCCCATCTGAAGGCGCCGAAGAATATCGAATTGATGTAGATCGATCCGGACAAACTCTCCATATTGAACAGTAATCCATAGTTGATAACACTGGTGATGAACCTGGAAAAAATTTTTTCCAATGAATTGTTCACATACGGAATCAAACCACTTACGGAAATGTGGCGCATAATTTCAGCGAAAAAAAAATATTGGTCGAGAATGCGGAATATTAATACGAAATCGTCACTACTCTGAAATGCGATTTTGCTCGGTGAAAATGACTTGTCGCTTACATTCCCAAGCCAATGACACACGAATAGGTGAGTAGTTGCCAGGTATAGAAGAGATGATATGGATAGTGTTGTTGTTTGTTTTCCTTCTCACTTGCGACACGCTAAAATTTTGATGTGCCGTTGAATAATCGGCCGAAAATATGTAGCACTCGAAATTAATGCATTTATGCTTGTTGCCGTAACAATATCTAGCGTGAATGAAGTCATTTTAAATTCATCTGTACGCATTCCATGCATTCAATTATTTGTTTGTGAATGAAGCATATGTCAACTGTTCTATCTCATTTTGCTACACGTCACCAGTGGATGTAAATGAATGCAGTTAATTGGATAATAGGTATAAGCCGGATCATAGCCTGCTGGCTCAGGCTCACAACATTAATGATATTGATACACCATTCGGTTTCAAGCGAAACTTCCCTCCGCGAACGGGAATCGAACCCGCGTCGTACCAATTACCGGTTGGGGCTCCAGCTCTGAGCTACCGCGGAGACCGTTGTACCAATATCATGAATGCAACTATTGATCAACCAATTACCGAGCTAGTGCATCAAGGGCACAGTGTGTAACAACATCGTTGATGCTGTCGAGCCTAAGCTAGGCTATGATTTCATTTATTATATCACTCAATAAGTTTTTCTTGTGAATGTTACTGAAAAATTGGCCGAAAGAAAATCTCACTGTGGATTCTCGTAGCATTTCTTCCAGCTCCATTTCTGTTTTCGGATCTTCAACTTTCTTTCCACGGATGCGTCTCAACGCTTTTCTCAACTCGTCTGCTTTACCCTTTTGGAATAACCATCGGGGACTCTCCAGCGAGAAGCTGTAATTGTTATTAGAACAACGTCTATTCTAGTCCGCACTCAACTTCCTATGAGGTAGAATTGATATGACCCTTTAAAATATACAGTGATGTGCTGAAGTGGAGAAATAATCGATCACTCCACAACTGGAATAATTACAAGTCACGTCTTGATTACAAGAAGATATACAGAGGCAGAAATGAGCGGGCGCAATTCATCTTCGGTTTGTTTCGAGTTTCAGTATGCATCAGCTCGATGTGTAAGCGATGAATTTTCAAACTCACTAGACAAGAGGAATGGCCGGTAGAGAAACGATACTGACTGCACGAGCAAATGTTCTCCAATCGTGCGAATAATACGCCACTACAGCCATGATCATGAAGTTCGGCGAGAATGTTGTGATGGTTGAAATCCATAAACGATGCAGTTTCGGTGTCACCTCCATATTGTAGACCATGATCACACTGTAATTAATCATTATCGGAATCAATCCCTGGCAAACCTGAGAAGACGATTAGCTCGAAGATCGCAATCCGCCTATTGCTAATATGAACGTATTGATTGCTCTATAGTGATCAATTTGTATGAATGAGCGCGACTGAGCTTTTGAATTGAGATAGATCTATGTAAATGGCTATACCTCCTCAGGAAAGCAAAATCCCTCGGGAAAATACATGTTTTTCGCATGAAGAGATCCACCTAGACCGAATGATGCAAAAAATTTCATATGTTTTTGAGCAAACTTGAGCATACGGTAGCCTTGAAGGCAGCACCCGGGAATATCTCCGAGAAACACAATTCATTTGATGACTCTGGTTGTGACCATTCAAAAATTTTTGTGAGCTTTGTCTGCTTTTATCAGAAGGTTAACAAGTCAGTCGCTTATACTGATAAGACAGAAGAACAATGATTGAACGACTAATGCCTGAGACACTTTACAACTATCGAAATCAGGCAGGATAGAATCATTGATAACCTACACAACTTCGCCACCGGCAAGGAAACCGGTCAGCACTCTCCATGCGGTCATTGTCCACAGTGAACCCGCAAACGAGCTCACTGCACCGAAAATGATTGCAGTTGTACTACTGATCAAGAGCACCTAAAAAAGCGATGCATTTTATCGAAACATGCAGATCAAACTCACTCATTCAAAACAAAAATTGATTGAGATATCCTCTCATTAAAACGAAATTTCGCTAGATTTCGATGACTACAGCAAAACCAATGAACTAATTTCTACAATTGTATTTCTCATTTCATTGTTAAATTTGCTGCAAAATCATATCATTCATTGAAATTCTTAACACACGCTTCTACGAAACGTGCTGATAATTCACTGATTCCTGACGGTTGCTTAATGGAAAACAAACGTAAAACAATGTTAATCAACTCCTTCTACAGTTTACCCTATTATTATTATTCTAAGTTATCAGATCATATTATCGACCTAACAAACAGCATGACAGGTGAAGAGAAGAAAACTAATAAGATTTACAGTTCGACGGCCATACGAGTCGCTCATTTGTCCGAAGAAAATTGTACCGAACAAGATACCAAGCATTTGAATCGAAATACTCGTCTTCACTGCCTTACCTTCGCTACACAAATAGTCGAACTGAAATTCTCACTCGTTAATCATTTTGAGCAGGATGAATTTAAATCTAAAGACGAAGACCATCATCAAGCTCTTCCGAACGACTGGAAGAAATATTTGGGTGTTGAACGATCACTTTACTCATAATAATGGATTTTATCATTAATTTTCATGAGGAATCTACAACTACGTGCCGGTGAATGTGGCCGAATAAGAGTATAACATTGGGCACTCACCTCAACATTTACGGATTTGAACTGATATTCTAGTTGGGGCACGCATTCGTTTTGCGGTCGCCACAGATCGTATTGTGCACATATATCACCACCGGTTGTGTTCGCATGAAAGTCACCACAACTTTTCACGATTGGTTGGAAACCTACAAATAGAGAGTTTTGATTGCCTCAAGGTTATGAAGAATCAGGCCAAAATGAGACTGCATTTGTTACACTTCGTCAAGTGACTTCCAAGGAAAACTTTCGTATCGAGCTAACAATTGGAAATCTGTGTGCTTATACGACCGAGCAACATTTTGATCACCATTAACAAATAAATTTAT